TATTTTATCCCCTTGCCCTCACCTATCAGCCATTCTGAATTTCTCTGTAACCATACTATTCACAGGCAACCCTAGAAGATAGGTACTAGTTTTCAGAAAATGAAGCACAGGCCCTGGCTGGGTGGCTCAGTTGCTTAGAGCGTTGTTCCAATACGCCAAGGCTGCAGGTTCGATCCCTTGTCAGGGCACATACAAGAATAAACTAATGAATGCATAAATAAGTTGAACAACAAATTGATGTCTGTCTCTCTGAAAAATAAATAAGTTCTCAGATATACATGCTAGTGGCCTGCTAAAGGCCTGTGAGCCTAGCTGTGAACGGACCCAACTGTATCAAGGCACCTGATCCCCATGCTCTGCTGCCTCCTGGCACTCAGGTGGGAAGACCATCTAGGGGGCTCTGCAGGGTTCTAGGTGACAGAGGATGGTGGCCTGAGCAGAGCAGGACTGAGGGCTTTGGGAGAGAGAGATGGGGTTTGGATACACTTGGGAGAAGAAGGAGGTGCTGGAGTTTGAGGCTTTAAAGACTGGATGAGGAGGGGCAGGGCTGAGGAAGCTGCCGGGCTGGTAGGAGTACAGGCCCAGGGGCTACTAGGAGGCAATGGGCCTGGCTCAGGGGTGGAGCCACCTGGGAGTTAGGAGCCCAGCGCTGTGGGACTGGATGCAAGCACCCGGAGGACGTGTATAGGGAGAAGTCCCAGGAGCTGCAAATCAGGGGCCTCTCAGACAGTCAGGGCTGAGGAACCAGACAAGGTTCAGGGGGCTGGACACCTGCCTGGGGGAGACGCAGTGAGTATCAGGTCCATCAGTGTTCCCAGGACAGAGGGAACAATAGCTCTAGGGGGGTGAGATGGAGCCTGTGGGTAGGAATTGCAGAGGGAGGTTTCACTTAGTTTGAGGAAGAGTCTTCTCATAAATGGAGCACCCAAAGATAACAGGCTTCTTCTTGAGGTCCTAAGCTCTCTGTCTTAGGAAGTGTGTGAGGCAGGACTGGGTGGCCCTCTGAATGGTAAGGGCCATTGCTGAGGGGATTTCTGCAGTGGGTGGTGATAGATATGAGGCCAGAGAATCTGCATACAGCGAGGGTTTGGGGCTGGTGGTAGCACTGCCTCCTAAACAGTAAACAGCCCCCTTCCTTGGCTGCAAAGCTCTGACTTGTGCTGATTGGCCCAGTACACCGCTGTGTGAATGGAGCCTCCTGCCTCCCCAGAAAGAGCCCTCTTCTTGGGGCACTTCTCTTGCCTTCCTTCACAGTGCAGCCACTCCAAGGCAGGTCTCTGAATTAGGGTCTCCTGCCTGACTGGTACCAAGGGAGCCACAGAGGGAGGTCCAGCAACAGCCACCAGCCTGCCCTGTCCCCATGACATTCTGTTTGGCCTGGGGGCTGCAGTTGACAAGCTGGCCCTGGGGAGGGGCTCCTGAGATATTTCCTTAGACACATAATTGCAACTGCACACACAGCTTGGTAATTAGGAGGCAGCACATTATTCTATAAATGGATGTAATACAGCTACTTTCTGCTGCCAAACCAGGAGTTTTGGGGATCACCTCGGATCTGGGTGAAAGGGGGAAGGGAGAGAGGTAAGGACTTGGTTTCAGAGGGCCAGCTTTAGATACTTACAAGGCATCTCCATAGATGCCTGGTGGCTCTAGAACACCAACAGGCTTGGAGACCCAATTTGACAAGGGAAAAACCTAGAAAAGGAAAGGGACTTACCTCAAGTGACAGAGGTATCAACAGCAGAACCTGCACTGGAACCCAACCTTCCCCTCAGCCAGACTAAGTCTCTCATTTTTGGTTTTGGCCCATGCAAAGTGCTTTCTCCTCTCCCAGTCTTTCCCTAGTGTCTCCTTCGGCCTGGTACATGCCCCACCTGCTATCTGGGACACTCTTACTCCTCCCTCAGTCTCGGTGTGACACCACCTCCTCCAGGAAGCCTTCCCTGACTCTCTGGGTAGGGTCAGGGCTTCCTCAGGTTCTCCATCCCTCCGTCCCCCACCGATGACCTAACACTGAATAGCCCTTTCTTCCTCAGAGAGTGTAGTCTTGAGGTTGCGGACCACATTCAATTAGCAGTGCAGAGCTGGAGCTGACTTGTACTGGCCTGTGAGAGCTGATGATTAAATTTGCAGGAATTTTGTGAAAAGGTTGTTAAATGCAGTCATTGTTAACAATTAAACTATACAAATTTACAATTAAATACATTTTGTTAAAAAGGGAAATGCACACTAAAAATGCATCACTTCCGCCCGGCCAGGCGTGGCTCAGCGGTTGAGCATCGACCTGGGATCCAGGCGATCGGGGTTCGGTTCCCCATCAGGGCACATGCCCGGGTTGCGGGCTCAATCAATGACTCTCTCATCATTGATGTTTCTGTCTCTCTCTCTCCCTCTCCCTTCCTCTCTCTGAAATCAATAAAGATACATTAAAATAAATAAATAAATAAATAAATAAATAAAAAATGCATCACTTCCTAATTATTTTGTTATCTATGTTTGTAAGGTTATTTATGTCTATCAGATCTGGTGGTAAAAATATACTATATAATGGTGTGAACCAACTTGGTGTTAAGAGACATCACATTGGTAGCCTGATACTTGCCATGGTAGAAATACTGACACCACAGAAATGTGCAAGTGCCACAGATCAGGGCCCTTCACTGAATCCCAGAGTTGGTTGTTAAAAATTTTTCAGTTCACCAGTGAATTCATTAACTACTGCTACTACATTTCAGTTCACCACTGACCTTGACCCTTACAGCCAAGCTTGGCACACAGCAGTGCTTAGTAAAGGGCTGCTGAACAGGACAGAAAGAATGCAGGCACTGCCTTGGGAAGTGGGGTTACCTGCTTCCAACATCTGCCACCAGTACTGGTTCTGGCCCTGCCCACTCCTCCCAGCTCTCATGGGGCACAGATAAGGCCGATGGCTGGGGCCTGTGTCTGTGGGCACTGGGGTGGAGGGGAGTCACCTTTCCCAGGCCAGGGCTGAGGGATTCCAGAGAGTGGGAAGGTGTGGGTGGCCTTGGGAAGGCACACAGAAAGCTGGGCCTGGAGGAGGTCCTGTTGCTTCCTCCCCCATGGCATTGTGCCACCTTTCTGCACACAGCAGGAGGGGCAGCAGAAAGGCTATTTAGCTGGGCTGGCTTCAGAAAGCGTGCCTGAAGTCCCCTTCCCTTAGAACTTTGGGTAAGAATTGGTCCTTTTAAGTTCTTTCTTAAAAGTTGTACTCCCCTCTCCCCCTTTGGGTAGCAGACCATTTAAAATCTTGGAAGGTCAGGGATAAGGAAGGAGAGGGAGGTTGAGCACTTTCTCCCCAATACCTCACTTAACAGTCACCACACACAAAGCCACTCACTCCACCCTTATTCTATGGAGAGGTACACTGATGAACCTACCTTCAACTATACCAGGGTGTTCCCACAGCTCTTTTACAATGGTTCTTAACAGAGGGAACATTTGGCAATGCTTGAAGACTCTTTTTTTATTGTCACAACTGAGAGAGGGGTGCTACTAGCATCTAGTGGGTAAAAGCCATGATGCACAAGACAGGCCCCCACAGAAAAAATTGTACAGGCCAAAGCATCAATAGTGCCAAAGTTGACAAACCTGATGTAGAAAGATGCACTCACACACACACACACACACACACACACACATGCACACATGGGCAATTTCATTTTTTAATTAAGAACCCCTGGTCTCCAACCTGTTAATTTACAGAAGAGGAACTGAGGGCAGGGTGGGTAACCGCTTGTTCAAGGTCACCCAGCAAGTTCCCCTGCAACCTGTGCTATCAGCATAGTGCCTGCACAAAGCAGCAGCTCTGTAAGTGGTTATTAAATTGGGAAGAAAACCAAGACAAGACAGGGCTCTGGCCTGAAACTCCTTTCAAGTTTTCCCTGGACAGGATCCCCACCAATGTCTTCTTTGTCCTCAATGGATTTCTCAGCAGCAGCCGCCACTCCTGATTTAGTCCCTTCTTTTTTTTTCTTTATCCATTGATTTTAGAGAGAAAGGGAGGAAGAGAGGGGGAGAGAGATATTGATTTGTTGTTCCATTTATTTATGTGTTCAATGGTTGATTCTTGTATGTGCCCTGACTGGGGACTGAACCTGCATCCTTGGCATATAGGGATGATGCTCTAACCAACTCAGCTACCTGGCCAGGGCATGATAGCCCCTTCTTGACTGCAGTGAGGAGGCCTGAGCGAGGCTAATGGTGGGGGTAGCTGGGGCTGAATGGACAAGGGAGAGGGAGGGTTGAAGCCCACTTCACACATCTAAGCCCAAAGCAGTTGGAAGGTTACACCGTGGTAGTGGGTACCCAAGGGCACTGGAGGGCTAGGTCCAGTGGCAGGTGATGATAGGGTGCGCTGGTGCCACCTCCCCATGGCCACATCTCTTCGAAGTATGTGGGGTATATGTGTAGGGAAGTTCAGGTTTTCTGACTTTACCTGACAGATGGCCCAAGGTCCTTAATTAGCTAGAAACCCTTATCTGGTACTTGCTTCCAGAACTGGCCTTGGAGAGCCCTCTGGAGTCTGTGGGGACCTCAACTGCCTCCTTCATTCTCTATTCTTCTCACCCTCTTCAGGGGAAGCAGAATTGCATAGGGTGAGCCATGCAGACTCTACAGCTCTACTCCAGGATTCATATCTGGGACTTATTTTTTACTAGCTGTGTGACCTTAGGCAAGTTACTCAACTTCTGTTTCCTCACCTGTAGATGGGGTTAACACAATGGGTCATAGGGTTGGTGGGAGGATCAAATGTAGTTTTTTTAGTAAAGCACTGAGAAAGATTCCTGGCCAAGAGTGACCACTCAATAAATGTGAACTATTATTGGCATTGTTTTTATTAGGCTCCTCACACCCTCTGGGGATGGTGGGAATTAACCAAGGCTCTTCTTGCATTTCTACTTCTCTGCTGCCCTCTAATGGACCCTGGCTGCACTGTCCTGAGGACACATGGTTAACTTGGTGTGTCCAGAGATAATTTCTTCCTTTAGATTTCAAAGGAAGTTTGCCATATAAGGAAACCTTACCATCAGTTCTTGGATAGAGTCAAACAACTAATACATTTCCCTTCTTCACAAATAGAACTCACCTGTGGATTAGCATTTGCATGTTGGTTTTCTTTTTCTTTTAAAAAAAATCTTCATCTGAGGATGTTTTATTGATTTTTTAGGGGGGGGGAGAGAGAGAGAGAGAGAAACATCTATGTAAGAGAAAAACATAGATTGATTGCCTCCCATATGCGCCCCGGCCAGAAATCGAACCCCTAACCTAGGAATGTGCCCCAACTGGAATCAAACCCACAACTTTTTGGTGTATGGGACAATGCTCCAACCAACTGAGCCACCCGGCCAGGGCTGCATGCTGGTTTTCTTGAAGCAGCACCCTACTATAGTGGAAAATCAAGGGGGCAATTTTCTTTTTGATATTCATGGTAATTGACCACTTTTAGTTTTTACAGGTGTAATTACCTTTAACCCCAACACATTTCTGCAAACCTCCTTACCCTCACCATTTAAGCCAAACATTGTTCACTCACATCTTCAGCGTGGGGATAACCTGTCAATTTCCTCAAATTCTGTCTCTCCCTCCCTCCCTTTGTGCTCCAGTTTGGTGTGAAAACTGGGTAACAGCAGTGACTGTTTCTGTTTTCCTCCCAGCTATCTCTGGTACCTACCACAGTGTCTGGCACATGGCAGGGGCTAGGTACATGTCTGTGGAATGAATACTGCACTCATAGCATACTGGTAGCCACGTGGCCCCCGAGTCCACCTCCCTCTGACAAGCTAGGGGCTTTGTGCTGAGCACTGAATGTACAAAGGTAAGTGTGATGTAACGTTGGACTCTAGAAGAGATTTTTGAAAAAGGAAAGATGAAGGTAGAGGGGGGCAAGGCTTTTGGTGAGAGGGGTTGGGCAGGATTGGAGGACTGGACACTTACCTGGTTCCTCTGGTGGGAGGTCCACGAGAGCACAGGAAGGGGCAGGCCAGAGTCCTGGATTCAGGGGGAAAACTTAGGGAGCCTGGAGCTTCGTCTGCCGCAGCACCCCTGTGCCTAGAGACAACAGGGCTGATGCTTATCCCAGATGCCAGATCAGCGCTGTAGCTCTAGGCCCGGACACCGAGGAGCGGATCTCGGCCGCGCCCAGTCAGCGCTCCTTCCCCGCGCGCTTTCTCCGGGTCGTAAAGCCCCGCCCC